AATTTTAGAATCTGTTTGCCAATAATTACATCATAACTTACTGAGATTTTGGTTGGGATTGTCTGAAATGTATAAATCAACTCGGAAACAACTAACATATTCATAAGACTGAGTCTTTCTTAGTTGTGGAGTTTTCCACATTTAGATCTTATACATATTTTGTTAGATTTACAGGAAATTATTTCATTTTTGCATAAATGTAAATGGTGTTTTAATTTCAAATTCCAATTGTTCATGGCTGGTATACAGGAAAGCAATTGACTTTTGTATTAATCTTGTATGCAACAATTCTATGATAATTGTTTATTAGTTCCAGGGTGGTTTTTTTTTTTGTGTTTTTTTTTAAGAATTTTCCAGAAAAACAATAATGTCATCTGTGAATAACAGGTTTATTTCCTGATTCCCAACATATATACCTTTTATTTCCTTTCCTTATCTTATTGAATTATGTAGGCCTTTCAGTGTGATGTTGAATGGAATTGGTAAGCAGAGATGTCCTTGTCTTGCTACAGAATGTTCTCCACACAGGCTAAACCAGTCTGCAAGGGATGTCCTTGTCTTGTTCCAGATCATAGCTACAAAGCATATAACTTATCACCATTATGTATGTCAGTTGTATGTTTTTTTGCAGATGTTCTTTATCAAGGTGAGAAAATTCTCTATTTCCAGTATGAGGACAGTTTTATTATTAAAGAATGTAGAATTTGTCAAACGTTTTCTGTAGACCCATAAATATGACCACATGATTTTCCTTTTCTAACCTATTGATGTAAAGGATGTTATTATTTGCCAGCAACAATTTTTAAACCTAACCTTTTATACAATAGTAATACTAGAGACCAGGTGCACAAATTCGTGCATGGGTGGGGTCTGGTCACCCCACCCGATGGGGGCCCATTGGCCTGGACAGGGCTGGCAGACACAATGCAGGGCTGGGGGTGTGCTCCAGGTGGCCACCACAGAACTTGGAGCATGCCCCCACCCCAGTGGACACAACACAGGGGGGGCCTCTGCATGCGAGGTGCAGAGGAAGCTCCTTTTCTGAACCCTCATTGGCTATGCTTACTATATGCTCCCACTCACAATGTTCTTGGTAACTTGAGTAATAAGAATCCAAGAAGGTGATCTAGGGTTTTTCCACCTCACTCCTGGAGGAAAAAATGAAGGTCTGCTGCTGGGGAGCTAAGAAATGTCATATCCTGCACTAGCTGGTTTGGCTCAGTGAATAATGCCTTGGCCTGCCAACCGTAGGGTCTGGGTTTGATTCTGATCAAGGGCATGTACCTAGGTTGCAGGCTTCTCCCTGGCTGGGGCCCACGTCAGGGCTCATGTAGGAGGCAACCAATCGAAGTGTCCCTTTCACATTGATGTTTACTCTCTGTCTTTCTCTCTTTCTTCCAAGCTCTCTAAAAATCAATGGAAACATATTCTCAGGTGAGGTTAAAAGAAAGAAAGGAAGGAAGGAAGGAAGGAAGGAAGGAAGGAAGGAAGGAAGGAAGAAAGAAACAGAAAGAAAGAAAGAAAGGAAGAAAGAAAGAAAGAAAGAAAGAAAGAAAGAAAGAAAGAAAGAAAGAAAGAAAAGTAATATCCTATGAAAGACGCATCTTGAAAATGCCTAAAGAAAGTTTTCATTTTTTCATGGTGAAGGGACTGGAGTCCATGTTGATGAAAACACCTTGGCGGCTGTGGCAGCTGGCAGTGGCAGCAGCAGCAGGGTGATGTGGCTGGCGTCTTCCCCTGACCAGCCTGTGCAGAGGGAGGCCAGACTGTGGCTTAGGCCCGCTCCCACAGACATCCCCTGAGGGCTCCCAGTCTGTGAGAGGGGGAAGGCTGGGCTGAGGGGACCCCCTCCCACTCCGTGCATGAATTTCATGCACTGGGCCTCTAGTATATATAAAGCTCTCACTGGTGCCAATTGCACATGTGTGTTTCCATCTGTCATTGTCAATTGTGAATTTGGTTGATACTTCTATTATAAAGAAAGGGCAAATAATGATATTAAAATGTTTCTTCTAAGTAATTTCCTTCCGGTATGCATGAATCCATGCACTGAGCCTCTAGTATCAAAATAAAAAGCTTTTGCACAGCAAAAGAAACCACCATAAAATTGAAAAGGGAAGCCACTAAATGGGAGAACACTTTTGCCAATGATACATCTGATAAGGGGTTAATAGCCAAAATATATAAAGTACTCATACAACTCAACAAAAAGAAGATAAAGAATCCTATCTAATAAAAGAGTAATATGTAAATTGACCTTCACTCCAACACACGAGATGGCCAACGCCATGTGGTCAAAGATGGCTGCCCCCCTGTGGACATAAGATGGCTGCCATAAGATGGCCTACAGGGGAGGGCAGTTGGGGGCAATCAGGCCTGCAGGGGAGTCCAGTTAGGGTGACCAGGCTGGCAGGGGCAATTGGGCCGGCACTGGAGCAATTAGATATTGATCAGGCTGGCAGGGGAGTGGTTAGGGGTGATCAGGCTGGTAGGCAGGCAAGCAGTTGAGAGCCAGCAGTCCTGGATTATGAGAGGGATGTCCAACTGTCTGTTTAGGCTTGATCCCTATAGTATTAGGCCTAAATGGGCAGTTGGACATCCCTCGAGGGGTTTCAGATTGGAGAGGGTGCAGGTTGGGCTGAGGGACACACACCTCGCCCCCCACCCCCATGCATGAATTTTGTGCACTGGGCCTCTAGTCCAATTAATAATGGTCAAAATACCTGAATAGACATTTCTCCATATAGGACATACAAATGGCCAAGAGACACATGAAAAAGTGTTTGCAGTCACTAACCATCATAGAAATGCAAATTAAATTAAAACCACAATGAGGTGTCACCTCACACCTGTCAGGATGGCTATCATAAAAAAAATCAACAAAAAACAAGTGGTAGGTCCTGGATTTCAAGAGGGTGGTTTTTGGGTGACACACCTGGAATCGGTTCCCCCATCTCTGGTTCTGGGATGTGTCACCCAAGAACTGCTGCTGCCAAGTCACCACAGCTTGGCAACTCTTGCATTGAGTGTCTGCCACCTGGTGGTCAATGCACCTCATGGCTACTGGTTGGACAGTTGGATGGTCACTTAGCATTTTATCTATCTATCTATCTATCTATCTATCTATCTATATATCTATATAGCTATCTATCTATATAGCTATATAGTTATATAGCTATATATTGGGATAGATATATAGATATATAGATATATAGCTATATAGATATATAGCTATATAGCTATATAGATATATAGATATATAGATATATAGCTATATAGATATATAGCTATATAGCTATATAGCTATATAGATATATAGATATATAGATATATAGATATATAGATATATAGATATATAGATATATAGATATATAGATATATAGATATATAGATATATAGATATATAGATATAGATATGCATAGACCATGGATATGGGCAATAGGGTAATGAAGACCTAGGGGGTTAGAGGTTGGGAGGAAGAGGGAAAGGGGGGAGAATGGAAGATACCTGTAATACTATCAACAATAAAAAATATATTAAAAAAAGAAACATTAATGATGAGAAAGAATTGTTGATTGGCTCCCACCTACATGCCCCTGACTAAGAATTGAGCAGGTAACCCAGGCATGTGCCCTGACCAGGAATCCTATTCTAACCTCCTGATTCATAGGTCGATGTTCAACCACTGAACAACACCAGCCGGGTGGGAAAAAACTTTTTAAAGTATATGATTATATAACCATTGTGATGTACACCTGAAATTAATACAAAATAATATTGAATGTAAACTGTAATTAACAAATAAAATTTTAAAAAGAACTTTTAAAAATTTATTAATTAAGGTATTACATATGTATCCTTATCCCCCCATTGCCCCCCCACAAATGTCCTCACCCCCCTGTTGTCTGTGTCCATTGGTTATTCTTATATGCATGCATACAAGTCCTTTGTTTGATCTCTCCCGCTTACCCCCAACCTCCCCTACCTTCCCTCTGAGGATTGATGTTCTGATTGATGCTTCTCTGTCTCTGGATCTGTTTTTGTTCATCAGTTTATGTTGTTCATTATATTCCACAAATGAGTGAAATCATATGATATTTATCTTTCTCTGACTGGCTTATTTCACTTAGCATAATGCTCTCCAGGTCCATCCATGCTGTTGCAAAGGGTAAGAATTCCTTCTTTTTTACTGCAGCATAGTATTCAATTGTGTAGATGTACCAATGTTTTTTAACCCACTCATCTGCTGATGGATACTTAGGCTGTTTCCAAATCTTAGCTATGGTGGATTGTGCTGCTATGAACATAGGGGTGCATATATCCTTTCTGATTCATGTTTCTAGTTTCTTGAGATATATTCCTAGATGTGAGATCACTGGGTCAAATGGGAGTTCCATTTTTAGTTTTTTTGAGGAAACTCCATACTGTTCTCCACAGTGGCTATACTAGCCCGAATTCCCACCAGCAGTGCATGAGGGTTCCTTTTTCTCCACATCTTCGCCAGCACTTGTGCTTTGTTGATTTGATGATGATAGCCATTCACAGGTGTGAGATGGTACTACATTGTGATTTTGATTTACATCTCTCAGATAGTGACTTTGAGCATACTTTCATGTCTTTTGGCCTTCAGTATATCTTCTTTCGAAGATTATTTGTTTGGGTCCATTGCCCAATTTTTGATTGGGTTGTTTATCTTCCTTTTGTTAAGTTGTATGAGTTCCCTGTTAATGTTGGAGATTAAACCCTTATTGGTGATAACATTGGGAAATATGTTCTACCATGCAATGGGCTTTCTTGTTGTTTTGCTGATGGTTTCATTTGCTGTACAAAAGCTTTTTATTTTGATGTAGTCTCATTTGTTTATTTTCTCTTTAGTTTCCGTTGCCCTAGGAGTGGTATCAGTGAACAAATTGCTTTGGCATATGTCTGAGGTTTTGCTGGCTGTGGACTCCTCCAAGATTTTTATGGTTTCCCATCATATGTTTAAGTCCTTTATCTATTTTGAGTTTATTTTTGTGTATGGTGTAAATTGGTGGTCTAGTTTCATTTTTTGCATGTATCTGTCCAATTTTCCCAACAACCTTTATTGAAGAGATTGCCTTGACTCCATTGTATGTTCATGCCTCCTTTGTCAAATATTAACTGAGCATAGTGGTTTGGGTCCATTTCTGGATTCTCTATTCTATTCCATTGATCTATATGTGTGTTCTTGTGCCAGTACCAGGCTGTTTTGAGAACAGTGGCTTTGTAATACTGATTTATATCTGGTAGTGTGATCCCACTTACTTTGTTCTTTCTCAGGGTTGTTGCAGCTCTTTGGGGTCTTTTTTTATTTTTATTTATTTTTTAAAATATATTTTATTGATTTTTTACAGAGAGGAAGGGAAAGAGATAGAGAGCTAGAAACGTCGACGAGAGAGAAACATCGACCAGCTGCCTCCTGCACACCCCCCACCGGGGATGTGCCCGCAACCAAAGTACATGCCCCTGACCGGAATCGAACCTGGGACCTTTCAGTCCGCAGACCGACGCTCTACCACTGAGCCAAACCAGTTTCGGCTCTTTGGGGTCTTTCTTTATTCCAAATGATTTTTTAGAAAGTTTTTTCTAGGTCTGTGAAATATGCCATTAGTATTTTAATGGGGCAGTACATTGACTCTATAGATTGCTTTGGGTAGTATGGACATTTTAATGATGTTGATTCTACCAATCTATGAACATTATATGTTCTTCCATCTGTTTACGTCTTCCTCTATCTCTTTTTTCAGTGTCTTGTTGTTTTCCACATATAGGTCTTTTACTTGCTTAGTTAAGTTTATTCCTAGGTATCTTAATTTTTTTTTTGGTGCGATGGTAAATGGGATTGCTTTTTTAGTCTCTCTTTCTGTAAGATCACTATTGGTGTATAGAAATGCCATAAATTTCTTGGTGTTAATTTTGTATCCTAATTTTGCTACATTGTTGAATTTGTTTATTAAGTCTAATAATTTTTTATGGAGTCTTTAGGGTTTTCTATATACAGTATCATGTCATCTGCAAATAAGGACAGTTTTACTTCTTCCCCCCCCCCCCCCCCAATTTGGATGCCTTTTATTTCTTCTTGTTGTCTAATTGCAATGGCTAATACTTCCAGTACTGTCAAACAGGAGTGGTGAGAGTGGGCATCCCTGTCTTGATCCTATTCTTAGGGGAAATGGTTTTATTGCAATAGTTTTTGCCCATTGAGTATAATGTTGGCTGTGGGTTTGTCATATATGGCTTTTATTATGTTGAGGTATGATCTTTCTATTACCTTTTTTTATCAAGAAAGGGTGTTGAATTTTGTCAAATGATTTTTTCTGCATCAATTGATATGACTATGTGGTTTTTATCTCTTAATTTGTTTATCTGATGTATCACATTTATTGATTTGAGGATATTGTACCATCCTTGCATCCCTGGGATAAATGCTACTTGGTCATGGTGTATGATTTTTCTGATGTACTGCTGGATCCTATTTGCTAGAATTTTGTTCAGGATTTTGGCATCTATGTTGATACTGGCCTGTAATTCTCTTTCATTGTGTTGTTTATATTTGGTTTTGGTATTAGGGTGATGCTGGCTTCATAGAATGAGCTTGGAAGAGGAAGTGTTCCTTCCTCTTGAATACTTTGGAATGGTCTGAGGAGGATAGGTTTTAGTTCTTCCTTGGATGTTTGGTAAAACTTCCCAGTAAAGCTGTCTGGCCCTGGGCTTTTGTTTTCTGGAAGCTTTTTGATGAATGCTTCAATTTCTTCCATAGTTATTGGCCTATTGATTTCTTTAGATTCTTCCTGATTGAGTTTTGGAAGGTTGTATTTTTTTTTAAGGAATATGTCCATTTCCTCAAGTTTGTATAGTATCTAGTTTGTTGGAAGAGTTGTTCATAGTTTTTTTTGTTTGTTTGTTTGTTTTTTTATAACAATTCTTTGTGTTTCTGTGGGGTCTATTGTTATTTAGCCTCTTTCATTTCTGATTTTTTTTTTTTTGGGTCCTCTCTCTTTGGTTCTTGGTGAGCCTGGCTATAGGTTCATCAATCTGATTTATCATTTCAAAGAACTAGCTCTTGGTTTCATTGATCTTTTATATTATTTTTTTGGACTCTATGTCATTTATTTCTGGTTTGATCTTTATTATTTCCTTCTGTCTACTCACTCTGAGCTTTTCTTGTTGCTCTCTTTCTAATTCATTAAGTTGTAGTGTTAGATGACTTACTACCATTTTTTTAAATGAGGTATACTTGAAGAGCTATAAACTTCCCTCTTACGAGTGCTTTCACTGTGCCCATAATTTTGTATTAAAATAACTTTAATTTAAAAATATAAATAGACAATAGAGGATCACCAAGCATTTGAGGAAATTCTTTAATCTGAAAGACAGGAACACACACACACACACACACACACACACACACACACACACACATCCGAAGATAGAACAAGAGAACTCAAAGAAAACAGATCATGCATAGAGCAGGAAACTTTAAAAAATCCAATAATTACTATCTTTTGGGAGATAAGATATTTAATATTATATGCAGAAATAGATGGCATAAAATATAAAATAACAGAGAAAAAGAAAGAATAATTAGTAATTAAACACCATAGGTCAATTAAAAAAAATGAAGAATTGTAGGATAAAGACTTTTACTCAGAAAGCAAGAAAAAGATAAAGTTATGGAAAATCAGAGACAGAAGATAATATACATTAGAGAATCAATTGAGAGAATGAGAAAAATAATTAGGAGAAAGTTTAAAAAGAAATAGTGGGAGTAATTGGGGAATGAAAGTCATTAGGGTCTGTATTGCAAGGGTCTAACAAGTCCCCTGCTTAATTAATGAAAAAGTGCCTAGGTTATTGCAAAGCAGCCTGAGAACACAGAATACTGGAGATAAAAAAAGACAATAGAAGCTGTTAGAAAGGAAAAACAAGTTTCATAAAATGATTTGGGAATCAGAATGGTATGAGACTTTTCAATAGTCATATTGTAAGTTAGAATATAATGAAAAAGTGTTTTGATAATTTTAAGGTGAAATTCTTTGTTATTTATTACTAGAGGCCTTGTGCACAAAATGAATGGGTGGGGTCCTTAAACCTGGCTAGTGATCAGGGCCGATTGAGGCCTACTGGCTGCCTGCTATGGCCTCCCTTCGTTCCACACCACCCCCTGGTGGTCAGCACACATCATAGCAAGCAGTTGAACTCTCGAGGGACAATTTGCATATTAGTATTTTATTATGTAGGATTGACACTGTTATAGATATCCCCATTTCCAACTTTCTTTCCCCACCTCCACTCAGCCCCTGCCTCCTCAGGGAAAAGTCTTTTTATTTTTATTTTTATTTATTTATTTATTTAAATATATTTTATTGATTTTTTACAGAGAGAAAGAGAGAGGAATAGAGAGCTAGAAACATCAATAAGAGAGAATCATTGATCAGTTGACTCTTGCACACCCCATACTGGGGATGTGTCCGCAACCAAGGTACAAGCCCTTCACTGGAATCAAACCTGGGACCTTTCAGTCCACAGGCTGACACTGAGCCAAATCGATTTCAGCAGTAAAGTTTTTTTTAATTTATTTTTTATTTATTTATTTTAAATTTTTTTAAAATAAATCTTTATTGTTCATATTATTACAAAAGTTCCTCATTCCCCCCCCCCTACCTGGTTCCCACCCCACCCTCTGCCCTTTCCCCACCCTCCACTGTCCTCATCCATAGGTGCACAGTTTATGTTCAGTCTCTTCTCACACCCACCACTCCTCTTTTCCCCGAGAATTGTCAGTCCACTCCCCTTCCATACCTCTGATTCTATTATATTCACCAGTTAATATTGTTCATCAGATTTTTTTAATTCCCTTGGTTTTTAGATTCACTTTTTGATAGTTACATATTTGTTGTTCATAATTTTTATCTTTATTTTCTTCCTCTTCCTAAAGAACCCCCTTCAGCAATTCATATAATTCTGGTTTGGCAGTGATGAACTCCTTTAGATTTTTTTTTATTTGTGAAGTTCTTTATCTGGCCTTCGATTCTGAGTGATAGCTTTGCTGGGTAGAGTATTTTTGGCTATAGGTTCTTGCTATTCATCACCTTGAATATTTCTTGCCATTCCTGTCTGGCCTGCATGGTTTCTGTTGAGAAATCAGCTGACAATTGTATGGGTTCTCCTTTATAAGTAACTACCTGCTTTTCTCTTGCTGCTATTAATATTCTCTCTTTGTCTTTTGCTCTTGGAATTTTAATTATGATGTGTCTTGGTGTGATCCTCTTTGGATTCCTTTTGTTTGGTGTTCTGTGCACTTCCTGGACTTGTAAGTCTATTTCTTTTACCAGGTGGAGAAAGTTTTCTGTCACTATTTCTTTCAATATATTTTCGGTATCTTGCTCTCTGTCATCTTCTGGGACGCCCATAATTCTAATGTTGGTTCGCTTGAAGTTGTCCCAGAGGTTTCTTACACTATCTTTAACTTTCTGGATTCTCTTGTCTTCTTGGTTCTGTGGAGGAGTGTCCTGTGGCTCTTTGTGTTCCAAGTCTTTGACTTGATTCTTGCAATCTTCCATTCTGTTTTTAGGACTATTTTTTGTTTCAGCGAATGTATTTTTTATTTCTAGTTGATTCTTTATTATTTCTAGTTGATCCCTTTTCATATCTTCATGGGTCTCGTTTATTTTATCGGCCTTTTCTAGGAGATTCTTGAAAAACCTTATAAGCGTGGTTTTGAACTCTATATCCAGTCGCTTTTTGTCCTCCATTTCTTTAGTTTGCCATTTGTTTCCTTGTCTCAGCATTTTCGCTGCTTCCCTGAGTTGGTAGGGTGGGAGAATCAGCTGTATCTATGCCAGGAGACAGCCTTATTTGTCTAGACTTGGAAAACTGCAAGAGCCTCTGTGCTCAGCTTGGATGGGGTGGAGTTTCACAGTAGAGCCTACAGCCTTGGCTTCTGGGTAGCCCCGCCCTATGACGTTCCTGAGTCTCAGTGTTCCTCAGGGTCCTTTGGTACTTGCTGCAAGCACCTCTGAGAGAAAGGTGCCCTAGAGTTTCGCCCACTACCAGACAGTCTGGTCTCTCCCCGAACAAGCCCGCAACTGGGGTTCAGTGCAGTTGGAAGTGGGGTTAAGAGCAGTCTGGAGCTTATGTCTCCTTCACACTAGGGCAATCCAGCAGCTCAATGAACAGTCTGTCCTCTGCTCGAAATGTGCATGACTTGGGGGCTCTGCCTTTCGCCGTTCCCCTAAGCTTCAGCTTTATAGCCCAGATTCCCTCTGTATGAGCCTGGGGCTCGAGTGTCTCGCCCAGAACTGGGGTTCAGTGCAGTCAGAAGTGGTGCTCAGCACAGTCCAGAGCTTTTGTCTCCTTCCCGCTAGGGCAATCTAGCAGCACAGTAAACCATCAGTCCTCTGCGCGAAATGTGTGCGACTCCTGGGCTCTGCCTTTCACCGCTCCCCTGAGCTTCTGCCTTACAGCCCAGATTCCTTCTGTATGTGTCTGGGTCCCCAGGGTCTTGCTCAGAACTGGGGTTCAGTGCTGTCGGAACTGGGGTTCAGCACAGTCTGGAGCTTTTATCTCCTTCCCTCTAGGGAACGTCAGCCAGGCACTCAGCCTCCCCCTCCTCTCAAGCTCCTCCCTCTCCCAGCACGCACTGTGCCTCCGTACCTTAGGCTTTTACAGCTTCTCTGATTTTCCTTCTGGTTTTCTCTTTCCTTCTTGTTGTAGAATTTCCAGTCAGTCAACTTTCCTGTAGTTCTGGATAATGTCCACTTTATATTTTAGTTGAATTTTTTGAAATTGTTGTGTGAGGCTACAGTTAGGCAGTTACCTATGCCGTCATCTTGGTTTCCCCATGTTTTTTTTATTCGGGAAAGTATTTTTAAATAAGAATTTTATATCCAACAAAACTATTAATGAAGATTTTGGATAGATAAGTTTTCAGACATACAAGATGTTAGAAAAAAACTCTTGCACACCCCTTCTCAGGAAATCACTAGAGGAAGTGATCCAGGAGACAGCAACATTTGGGACCAAAAAACAGGAGATTCATCATAATAGGGGAATGAAAGAAGCACTAAGATGACATCTGTGCAGCAGGGCTAGAGGACAATCAGTCCATATTGAAGCAAGAAGGTGGTGGAGGCCTGCAATACAAATGTCTCCATTAAAAAAAAAAGGAACTGACAGAATCCCAGATGTCTTTGACAATGTAAAAAACAATATTCAGGGGAAAGAAGAATTAAAGAACATGGATAATAGACAAGTAAGAAATCAACAAATTTTTAAAAGTACAAACTCTATGGAGAAAATGGGATTTAGACAAAAGGAAATATAATCATAGAACACTACTTGGCTCAGCAATAAATTATATTAGTCAAAATTATGTAAATGATGAGTACAAATTTTAAAAATAATTGTTATGTAACTCTATTGGAAGGATGGAAGGTAGAGAAGTCTGTAAGCATGTGAGTGGTGTTTTCAAAAGTAAAACTCTATATCCTTCTTAAATGATGGATGATTTGATTATTTTCTTCTCTATTTAAAAAGTTGTTGGCAAGGATGTGGAGAAAAATGAAACCTTGTGCACGGTTGATGAGAATGCAGATTGGTTCAGCCACTATGGGAAATAGTATGAAGGATCCGCAAAAGATTAAAAATAAAATGGCCTCATGAAACAGCAATTCCAATTCTAGGAAAATATTTAAGAAACTGAAACATTGATTCAAAAGAATATATGCACACCTATGTTCACTGAAGTGTTATTTACAAAATCCAAGATTTGGAAGCAGCACAAGTCCATCAGTCAATGAGTGGTTAAAAACTGTGGTACAGTCTGTTGCATGTTTCAGTGTCTCTAGAGTCTATTTTGTTCATCAGTTTATTTTGTTCATTAAATTCCACATCTAACTGGCTTATTTTGCTTAGCATAATACTCTCCAGGTCCTTCCATGCTGTCCCAAAGGGTAAGAGATCCTTCTTTTTAATAGCTGAATAGTATTCCACTCTGTAGATGTACCACAACTGTTTTTTCATCATTGATGAAGGTATTACATATGTGTCCATATTCCCCAATTGCCCTCCCACTCCCCCATGCCCTCACCCCCCTACTGTATATGTCCTTTGGTTGGGCTTATATGCATGCATACAAGTTCTTTGGTTGATTTCTTCCCCTTCCCCTCACACTACCCTGCCTTCCCTCTGAGGTTTGATGGTCTGATTGACGCTTCTCGGCCCAGGATCTGTTTTTTGTTCATCAGTTATATTGTTCATTATATTCCACAAATGAGTGAGATCATATGATATTTATCTTTCTCCAACTGGCTTATTTCACTTAGCATAATGCTTCCCAGTTCCATCCATGCTATTGCAAATGGTAAGAATGCCTTCCTTTTTAAAGCAGCATAGTATTCCATTGAGTAGATGTACCACAGTTTTATTTCTTTTTCATTTTAATTTCTTTATTAATTTCTTCTTTGGTATTACATATTTGTCCTCATCCTCCCATTACCTTTCCAACCCTCCACTCATGCCCTCACCCCCTTGTTGTCTATGTTCACTGGTTAGTCTTATATGTAGGTATACAAGTCCTTTGGTTGATCTTTCCTCCTTACTCTCATCCTCACTTACCTTCCCTCTGAGGCTTGGCAGTCTGATCAATACTTCCCTGTCTCTGGATCTGTTTTTGTTCATCAGTTTATGCTGATCATTATATTCCATAAGTAAGTGAGATCATGTGATATTTATCTTTCTCTGACTAGTTTATTTCACTTAGCATAATGCTCTCCAGGTCCATCCATACTGTTGCAAATGGTAAGAGTTCCTTCTTTTTTTATAGCAGCACAGTATTCCATTGTGTAGATGTACCAGTGTTTTTTAATCCACTCATCTGCTCATGGGCACTTAGGCTGTTTCCAAACCTTAGCTATAGTAAATTGTGCTGCTATGAACATAGGGGTGCATATATCCTTTCTGATCAGTGTTTCTAGTTTATTGGGATATATTCCTAGATGTGAGATCACTGGGTCAAATGGGAGTTCCATTTTTAGTTTTTTTTTTGAGGAAACTCCATACTGTTCTCCACAGTGGCTGCACCAGCCCGAATTCCCACCAGCAGTGCATTAGGATTTCTTTTTCTCCGCATCCTTGCCAGCACTTGTCGTTTTTTGATTTGTTGATGATAGCCATTATGACAGATATGGGATGGTACCACATTGTTGCTTTGATTTGCATCTCTCAAAGGATTAGTGACTTTGAACATCTTTTCATATGTCTCTTGTCCTTCTGTTTGTCTTCTTTTGAAAAGTATCTATTTCAGTCCATTGCCCTTTTTTTTTTGATTGGGTTGTTTATCTTCCTTTTGTTAAGTTGTATGAGTTCCCTGTAAATGTTGGAGATTAAAACCTTATCAGAGATAACATTGGCAAATATATTATCCCATGCAGTGGGATTTCTTGTTCTTTTGTTGATGTATTTTGCTGTGGAGAAGCTTTTTATTTTGATGTAGTCCCATTTGTTTATTTTCTTTTTAGTTTCCATAGCCCTAGGAGCTATACCAGTGAAGATATGGCTTCAGCGTTTGTCTGAGATTTTCCTGCCTGTGGATTTCTCCAAGATTTTTATGGTTTCACATCTTACATTTAAGTTATTTATCCAACTCGAGTTTATTTTTGTGTATGGTGTAAGCAGTGGTCTAGTTTCTTTCTTTCTTTTTTTTTTTTTTTTTTTTTTTTTTTTTTTTTTTTTTGCATACATCTGATGAGTTTTCCCAACACCATTTAATGAAGAGAGTATCTTGATTCCATTGCATACTCTTGCCTCCTTTGTAAAATATTAATTGAGCATAGTAGTTTGGGTTGATTTCTGGGTTCTCTATTCTATTCTATTGGTCTATATGTCTGTTTTGTGCCAGTACCAGGCTGTTTTGAGACCAGTGGCTTTGTAATATAGCTTGATATATGGTATTGAGATCCCTCCTACTTTGTTCTTTTTTAGGATTGCTGCAGTTATTCGGGGCCTCTTTATTCCAAATGAATTTTTTGAAATATTCTATGTCTGAGAAATAATGCCGTTGGTTTTTTTAATGGGGTTTTATTGAATCCATAGATTGCTTTGAGTACTATGGACATTTTAATGATGTTTATCCTACCAATCCTTGAGCATGGTATATTTTTCCATCTGGTTGTGTCTTCCACTATCTCTTTTTTCAGTGCCCTATCGTTTCCTTAGTATAGGTCTTTTACCTCCTTATTTAAATTTATTCATAGGTATCTTATTTATTTCGGTGCTATGGTAAATGGGATTTAAAAAAAATCTCATTCTTTAAACTCACTATTGGTATATAAAATGCCATAGGTTTCTTGGCATTAATTTTATATCCTGCTACATTGTTGAATTCATTCATTTGATATAATACTTCTTTGGTAGAGTCTTTAGGGTTCAATGTACAGTATCATGTCATCTGCAAATAATGACAGTTTTACTTCTTCTTTTACAATCTAGATAACTTTTATTTCTTCTTCTTGTCTAATTGCTATGTCTAGCACTTTCAATACTATGTTGAACAAGAGTGGTGAAAGTGAGCATCTCTGTCTCATTCCTGTTCTTAGGTGAAATGGTTTTAGTTTGTGCCCATTGAGTATGATGTTGGCTGTAGGTTTTTCATATAAGGCTTTTATTATGTTGAGGTATGATCCCTCTATTTCCACTTTGCTGAGGGTTTTTATCAAGAAAGGGTGTTAGATTTTGTCAAATGCTTTTTCTGCATCAATTGATATGACTATATGATTTTTATCTCTCAGTTAGTTTGTGTGATGTATTATATTATTATTGATTTGCAGGTATTGTACCATCCTTGCATTCCTGGAATATATCCTACTTGTTCATAGGTGTATGATCTTTCTGATGTACTGCTGGAGCTGATTTGCTAGAATATTGTTGAGGATTTTGGCATCTATGTTCATGAGGAATATTGGCCTGTAATTCTCTTTCATTTTGTTGTCTATATCTGGTTTTGGTATTAGGGTAATGCTGGCTTCATAGAATAAGCTTAGAAGTGTTTATTCCTCTTGAACTTTTTTGAATAGTCTGAGGTGGACAAGTTTTAGTTCTTCCTTGAATGTTGGTAAAACTCTCATGTGAAGCCATATGGCCCAGGGCTTTTTTTTCCTGGAAGCTTTTTGATGAATACCTCAATTTCTTCCATAATTATTGGCGTATTGAGCTCTTTATATTCTTCCTGATTGAGTTTTGGAAGGTTGCATTTTTCTAGGAATATGTCCATTGTTTCTAAGCTGTCTAGTTTGTTTGACATAGTTGTTCCTAGTATATTTTTTAACAATCCTTCGTATTTATGTGGGGCCTGTTGTTATTTTGTTTATTTCATTTCTGATTTTGTTTATTTTGGTCCTCTCTCTTTGCTTCTTGGTGAGACTGGCTATAGGTTCATCAATCTTATTTATCGTTTCAAAGAACTAGCTCTTAGTTTCATTGATCTTTTGTATTATTATTTTTTTAACTCTATGTCATTTCTTTCTCCTCTGATCTTTTATCTCATTCCTTCTGCTCAATCTGTGTTTTTCTTTTTGCTCTCTTTCTAATTCTTTAAATTGTAGAGTTAGATAATTTATTACCTTTTTTTCTTTTCTTCCTTCCTTCCTTTCTTTCCTTTTTTTTTTTTTTTTTTTTTTGAGGTAGGCCTGTATAGCTATAAACTTCCCTCTCAGGACTGTTTTCACTATGTCTCATAGAATTTGGATTATTGTATTTTCATTGTCATTCCTTTCCAGAATGTTTTTTTTAAAAATATATTTTATTGATTTTTTACAGAGGAAGAGAGAGGGATAGAGAGTTAGAAACATCGATGAGAGAGTCATTGATCAGGTGCTTCTTGCACACCCCCTACTGGGGATGTGCCCACAACCAAGGTACATGCCCTTGATCGGAATCAAACCCAAGACCTTTCAGTCTGCAGGCCGAGGCTCTATCCACTGAGCCAAACCAGTTTCGGCCAGAATGTTTTTAATTTCTTCTTTGATCTCTTTGGTAACCCAATCATTTTTTAATAGCATGCTATTCAGCTTCCAAGTGTTTAAAATTTTTTGATTGTTTTTATTGTAGTTGATTTATAATATTATGCCATTGTAGTCTGAGAAAAATCCTTGATATGATTTGTCTTCTTGAATTTGGGGAGATTTTGCCTGTGACCCAAAATGTGGTCTATCTTTGAAAATGTCCCATTTGCACTTGAGAAGAATGTATATTCTGTGGCTCTGGGGTGAAATGTGCTGAAGATGTCAATTAAGTCCATCTGATCTAGTACGTCATTGAGGATTGCTGTTTCTTTGATATTTTTTGTGTAGAGCATTTATCCAGCAATGCCAATAGTCTATTAAAGTCCCCATACTTTGATTGTATTGTTGTTAATCTCTCCCTTGATATCCTCCAGGAGTCTTTTTTTTATGTATTTGGGTGCTCCTGCATTGGGTGTATATATGTTTACCAGGGTTTTATCCTCTTGTTGTATTGATCCTTTTAGTATTATGAAGTTATCTCTTATTATGGCCTTCACTTTGAGGTCATTTTTGTCAGATATAAATATTGCTACCCCAGCTTTTCCTTCATTTAAATTTCTCTGGAAGATATTTTTCTGTCCCCTCACTTTCAGTCTGTGTGTGTCCCTTGTTCAGAGGTGGGTGTCTTATAGATAGCATATATATGGGTCATATTTTTTTTTATCCATTCAGCCACTAGATGTCTTTTGATTGGAGCATTTAGTCCATTTATGTTTAAAGTTATTATTGATAGGTACTTGTTTTTATTTTATTTTTTTGTGCCTCTATTCCTTCTTCCCTTTTTATTTCTTCTTTTTACATCAGTCCCTTTAACATTTCTTTTCTTTTCTTTTCTTTCTTTTCTTTTCTTTCTTTCTTTCTTCTTCTTTCTTTCTTTCTTTCTTTCTTCTTTCTCTTTTTCTTCTTCTTTTTCTTCTTCTTCTTTTTTTTTTTTTTTGGTTTGAAGCTCCTTATTTCCCCTTCAATGTTGAATAATAGCCTTGCTGTATAGAGTATTCTTGAATTTATTCCCTTGCTTTACATCACTTTGTAAACTGCCTTTTATTCCTTTCTGTCCTTATGTGTTTCTGTTGAGAAACCATTTGATAATCTATTAGGAGATCTCTTATACATAACTTTCTGCCTCTCTCTCTTGCAGCCTTTAAGATTCTCTCTTTGTCCTGAATGTTTGCATCATAATTATGACATGTCTTGATGTGGGTCGTTTTGGGTTCATCTTATTTGGGACTCTCTGTGCTTATGTGACTCCCTCCCCCCCCCCCCCCCCCAACAATATCAGGCAAGTTTTTTGACATTATTTCTTCAAATAGATTTTCTAACCTTTGTTCCTCTTCTTATAGTTATGGCACTCTTATTATTCCAATGTTCCTTCTTTTCACATTGTCCCAAAGCTCCCCTAGGCTCTCCACTGGTGTTTTTTTGTTTGTTTTTTCCCCTCCAATTGGAGTTCCGTTTTTGTAGTTTTTGCTTTCTGTCTTCTAATTTGGTCCTCTGTTTCTCCTAGTCTCCTGTTGAAACTTTCCATAGTTTCTTTTTTATTGTAACTATGTCACCCTTTATTTCCTCTTGATTCTTACATAAGTTGTTGATTTTTTCATCCATGTGGTTTATGAACTCTATGACCCTTATTCTGAATTATTTTTCTGATATATTGCATGCCTCCATTTCACTTAGCTCCTTTTCTGGCAATTCCTCCTTTTCTTTCCTTTGGGTGTTTCTTTGTCTCCGCATTTTTGCTCTCACCAAAGGATCTAGGTGTCAAGTTGTGCAGAGATTGCTCCTTGGGCTGTGGCAGCTGCCCCTCATGTGGTTGTGACTGTCTTCTCAGTTGCTGGTGACTCCTTGGGTGAGCACTGATCATGCAGCTTCTCACAGCAGTGATAGCTCCTTTGGCTGGCAGAGGTGGGTTGCTTGTATAACAGTTGCTCCTCAGATGGGAGTGGACAGCTTGCGTGGCTGCTGCTCCTCAGACATGGGTGGGCTGTGTGTGGCTGCTGCTCCTTGAATGAGGGCAGACTGCTTAAGCAGCTGCTGCTCCTCAGACTAAGGTGGGCTGCTCGTGTGGCTGCTGCTTGTTAAATGGGGGCCAGCTGCTCACAATTGCTGCTCCTCAGATGGGGGCAGGCTGAACTTGGCTGATGCTCCTCAGATGGGGTAGGTTGCTCGCATGGCTGCTGCTCACCATGGGCTATAGTGTTGGGCCAGACAGGGGACCGTGGTTTGGAACTCACAGGAGCCTGTGGCTGGGGTGGCTGGATTCTCTGTGTCTGTGAGAATAGAGATGAGGCAGCAGGTCCCTGGGGAGTGTGGCTGTAGAATCTCAAGTGTCTGAGAGCACCCTGGTAGAGGTGAATCTGGGCTCCTAGTCAAAGCAGCTCTCCCCTTCAAGATAGTGTGGCCTCTGCAGTAGAGTTGGTCACCCTAGGGCTGTTTGCAATGGTAGCAGAGGCTGCTTGTCTAGGCGAGCCCGGTCAGCCAGCCCCCAAAGGTCCTGCAGGAACTAACTGTCCCTCACTCACACACACACACACACACACACACACACACACACACACCCCACACGTCCACACACTCCCCTTTCACTTCCTCACTCATGCTCTCTCCCTCACTGCCACCATCTTTCTGCCTCTGTAGTTGAGTCTGGAGTGTTATTGATCCATTCATGAGTGGAGTCTCCTCTCCGGGTGTCTGGTAATGAGGCTCAATCTCTACCACATTGACCAAACAGCACAAAATGCAACTCAATAACACATAACACAAAGGGAACAAAACACGAATGTACTCACAATACCAATAACCCCAATATAAGTTACCACCAGATAAAAGAGAATTAGGGGAGAAAAAAGAGA